GATGGTAATTTACGTGATCGTCTGGATTAGATTTAGCCAATCAGAGTGCAGCTAACAACACGAGAATTTTCTACCCTGTTTTCCAAGAATCGATCAGGCGCTGATTGGATAGGAAATTAGCCAATCAGCGCGCAGCAACGTAGTCATGCTTTAATTCCATCTATGTCCCACGAACAATCGATTATTTATGTATATCAACATAGACCATTGTTTTATAATTATAGTTATCTAGCTTTTTTCGATTTAAACAAAAATAACTTCTCACCGTCTTTGATTTCTTTGAAATAAAAATATATTATAGCATCACCATTGCGTAGAAAGAAAAGTCGTAGTCCATTTGCAGACGACGCAACTGGACCATCGTCTACACTAACGAATAATTGGCCTGCAAAAGCTGTCAATTATACTGAACATGCAAACAATCAATTGAATCTTGGACATAATCATTCAGTTGGTGTTGAACAACAACAAAAACATATTGTTGAACCTGAATTATTATCAACAATACATCGTTCTAGTAATACAGATACTATTATATCATCGAATAATGTTATAAGTTCTAATCAATCAACTGATACTACCACGACTATTGGCACCACTGGTTGAGGCGCGGGTGGTGCTGGTGAACTTCCCCCAAATCGGCCAGGTGCTCGGTTGACATTAGCACCACGTATGAAGGTAAACCTTTTTATTGAGTGAGAGTATAAGATCTGTGTTGATTTCAATGAAAATATTTTATAAACAAAACAATTAGATTATTGGCTAGTAGTGTAATTTTAAATGTGCTCATTAGTGTCTATTTAGCTCCATGAGGAAATTCTTGGAGTGCCAGTGAGTAGCCATGACCAGAGTAGTATCTATCCAACTGTGTCCGGTGTGTGAAGCAGTTACGCACCGAAGGTGATGGATGAGGTCGCGTGATATCACGGATAGATTAACGTTGAACATTAACTTCGCTGGATTCTAGGTCAGTGGTCTGGAAATTAAGCGTCCACGTGCCACACCAAAAGTTCTTGGTTTGATTCTCTAGTGCCACTGATAAGTCCCATACCAAGACGAAATGGCCGTCTAGTAGTGTTTCCAGAATTCTAATGTTAGTCTAACATGGATGGATTCTTGATTTCATTGCAATCCAGGATTCGCGCTCACTGAATGTTCTTACTTGTATCTAAAACTTGATTATTCTCACTTGAATCCATTAATTATGATGTGTAGAGTACGTGGTTGGGTTTTGCAAGACTATCAGAACCGATAGTTAGAGACCTTGAATGACATGGCTCAGGTACATGCACTGTTTGGCTTCTTTCAAATTCTAAACTGAATTCCTCGTCACTTCTCTGTCTCTATTTCTAAATTTATTTCACTAAATTATACTTCTTGAATCATATTTTCGGATGGTGATCGTTCCGATTACTGCTTATACTTCTATTACCTATACACCATTATGGGATTTGCATCTGTAACTGATGTGTGTACGTATGAAGTTCTACGTTGTTGTTGACTGACTATCAACGTGTCTAGCTACTTTAAAAGTCAGATTCAACTCGTAGTTTTCAGTCTATAAATTTCACTGGTTTATCAATTAAAAAAAAATAGAACTGTATGTTATCTGATAAATTTGACAGGTCGATATTCTCTCACTTCTGTTTTTATCAGGTAATTACGTCACCGAACTGGTTAGACTTGTTCTTAATCGATTTATGTTCGATTAGTTCTCTACATGGTATTTATTGCTAGGGTTAGGGTCATCAGTTATTTGAAGTTATTGAAATGGAACTCTTAAAAAATTGTCCTACATTTTTATGTGTGTATGTTTGTATTTTAGGCAGCACCTGTAGGTATCAGCTCCCTTGCAAATGCTGCACCTACTCGTACAACTACTAACCGTCTACCAGCTCAACCGTCCTCACCACCACAATCACGACAAATTCGACCTCCTGGTGTCCCTATATTACATCGTCATACTTCGCCAATTGATACTAATCAACATCCTCCTCCTGTTAGTACAAATAGTATTAATATGCCAATGACACAAACTCAAGTTCGTTTACAAGCAGAAGCTGCAGCAGCTGCATTAGAGATACGTGAACGACGAAGAGCTGCAGCGGAAGCTGCAAATAAAAATAGACGACCACGTCGACGTAAACGAACCGATCTAGATAGTATACCTGTACGTGGCAGACCAACTTACAGACGACAATCATTTTCAGCCTCAGAAGGATCTGGCAGTTCCAGTTCATCGAATTCCTCTAGATCACCATCTGGTGATCGTTCTCATTCTGATTCAGGTCGTCATGCTGTAATTCGATCTAATTCTCCAAATCGTCAAATACCATCCAATAAACATGATCAAGAGGTTATCCGTCCCAGTGGTGGTCGTAAACGAACTCGTCAAGATATGCAACGTACAAGTTTGAAAGAGATTGATGAGAATACAACAACAACACGTCGACATGTAGGACGTACTATGCTACTTAATAGTGTTGATCCTCGTGAACCATTAGAATACGCCCGATATACTAAACAATCAGATTTTAATGAACGTTCTACTACACATAGAACAACACGTGGTACTACTGATCAATTTATGCAGAAACCTGTACAATCTATGAAACGATCTTATCCTACTACTGGTTAGTTTATTGTTTATAAAACAACTAATTGGTTTGTGTTGATAAGAATGAGTTTAAACAAACTATGTATGCAGTTAGTTATCTGTAGACAATAGTTGTAGGTTTTCGATCTTACATGTCTTTTAAGCATTCTGAAACTATCGGGTAAGCGATCCTTGAGGTTATGATTAGGGTACTAGGTACAGATAGCAAATTCATCGATGAATTAGTGAGTCTTCGTCAATTCCAATTGTTGGAACATGCGCTACGTAGGCCCAGCTACCGACTGACTACCTCGAGAAGTGATGCTGTCTAGTGTAAGAGTAGGTTTGAAGAAAGCTAGGCTTGACCAAATCAAAACATATCACCACTCCATGACGTCATTGACATCGAGCTTTCTCAATTAACATTGTTCATTTGTTTTAATCGTAGGACTACATGAAAGATTACTAAATGATTAGTACAATTAATTTGGTTTATGTAATATGTCGAATGTTTGTCGGGTGTTTTTTTTTGAAGCGATACAATAGTGAGAATACCAGAAATGTGCATTCCCCCCCCATTTCTAGCAACAACCACTAATTCTTTTGGCGATAAGCTTACTTACTTAACGCCTGTTATCCCCAATGGAGCGTAGGCCGCGTTTTTTAGCGAGTAAGTTTTCTACGGGATGGGGTTGCTAACCCCAACCCTTCTCCTTTGCTCGGGCTTGGGGCCTATAGTAGCCTCGGAGGTGCTCCTAGAGGAGTTAGCGACAAGCTACTATTTATCTTTTCACTCCCACCCCACGTAATCAGAATTTTGCATCCTGATATACATGTCCCCTTCTACTTACGCGAGTGCCTACTAATTAACCGTCCTACGCTTATTTCTATCTAAACTTCTTGTTATTTGGTTACCATTCACAGCTAAGATTGAGACGATTTATATACGGTAGCTGTCACAATCCATTCATAATTCACCTGTTGTTTGCCAGAACATACAATTTCCATTGCCTCTAATATATTTTATTTTTCAGGTGTTGACGAAATGCCAGCACGACAACGTCCAGAACGTGATTCTCGTCTCCTTGCTACACGTTATCCAAATTCATCTATTGATGAATCGCATAGAGTCGGCAACGCTGAGACACGTCGTACTGCTGCTACTGTGAATCAATTTAATCTGTCAACTAAGGAGAGAATAATTCGACCAAGAACACCACATGGTTTAGAAATGCTTGATTTTAGAAGTCGATCACCACATGCAGAAGTGGACATATTACCTAAAATTATTCGTCTTGATCGTGAACAATATCAACATCATCAACATCATCATCGTAGAATTGTTAGCTATGATATACCTGATATGAATAGTTGTATAAAATCACCGCTAATCAATAACAACGCCTCCCTAGTTGATCCTGTGGATAATTTCAACTCAGCTAAACGTGCACGTAGTCGTCATCGTAGTCGTGGTCCTGGGGTAACCATTGATCGTTCGGAACCATTTGAATCAGATACAAGTAGTAGTTTTGCTGCTGAACAACGTTTACGAAAATTACGTGAACGTTTAAATTTAGTTGATGATGCTATAGCAGAAATTAAAGCTGGCACTGTTAGTGGTGTCAGTGGTACTGGTGGTAGTGTACAATCATCTAATTTTAATTTTCGATGACATAATAAGTAAAATAAAAAACTACTCTTCATTGACGACGACTACTACTACTACTACTCATTTATCATCATCCATCATCATCATCTGCATCTATATGTACATTTTGTTTTGGTCCCCCCCTTTTCGATTTCATATTCATTCCCTTTTCTTCTCTGTGTGTGTGTGTGTGCACACACACACACACACACACACTATATTTATTGACCAATTCTATCTCTCTCTCTCTCTCTGTCTGTCTTTTAAATATATATCTATATCAGTGTGTGAATTATTTGTATTGTGTAGTTGTGTATCATAATAAATACCCCACCCACCCCCCACCCCTAAAAACAAAAAACTATGTACGCCAAACATGAAAATCACACATTGTGGTTTTCTTTCTTTTTGTTTTCTGATCAAATTTTAATTAACAAAAAAAATTATATTGTTCATTGATCTGAATGAGAAAATCTTTTGTCAACACACTCGAAACATGACCGTTAATGGTAGAGGACGTTCGTAAGTTACTAATCTTCGATCATGCAAGCATGTTCGGGATGCGGTTCTCACCCTCGATATGCAAAATGTTGCTTCAAGATTGGGTTGCATCGGCGCCTGAACTAGTGATAGGGAGTGAAGTAGTCGAACGTGTAGACCGTTCCACTTATCTGGCGAGTCTCATCAGTGCTGATGGCTTGGTGACTGACGAAATCTCGGCACGGATACAGAAGGCTCGATTGGCTTTTGCCAACCTGCGTCACTTATGGCGTAGGCGTGATATCCATTTGCTAACCAAAGAACGATTCTACTGCGTATCAGTTCGCTCCGTCCTATTTTATGACTGCGAAACATGGCCAGTAGGAATAGGGGATGTTCGTAGGTTACTGGTTTTCGATCATAGATGTCTCAGAAGCATTGCTCGAGTATCGTGGGACGACCGAGTAAGCAATGCTGTCGTTAGGAAACGAGTACTAGGCAAGGATGGCAGATCAATCGATGAAGTGGTGAAACTTCATCAGTTGAGGTGGTTTTGTGATGTAGGAGTAGGTTGGGAGAAAGTTAGGGGCGGCACAAATCCATGAAATCACTAACAAGTCGACTGAGTCATGTTGATGGACGTAGACTACCTGATTGGGGCCCGCGAGACGAAAGTAATCGATGGTTAGAGACCTTGAACGACATGGTTCAAAACGGTTTGCGATGGCGCAGGTACATTCATTCACTGTGTTCTCTCAAAATCTTATCTTCTGAATTCCTCATAATCTCTGTCTTTCGCTTTCTAAGGTTATCTCACTGAATTATACTTCTCGAATCATATCTTTGCTCCCTAATCTTCTCCATTACTGCTAACTAATACTTCTACAATCGCTACCGCTCTTGTATTTGAACTGACAGTTCGGCAACCCGATTTGATGTACTTACGTACGAAGTTCTTCGTTGTATCTGTCTGTCTGTTTAGTCTTTGGAGTGCGCTGGTGAAATGTAAAACTTATTATTGCGTATGCATCTGACTTGAACTACAGTATCTGTAGCATGCATTATCATAATTCCTAATTTCCATGGCACAAACTGAAAAGCCTATCTGTATAATCTCTATATTTCCAATATCTCGGTACATACTTTTTAATGTAATACTTTAGTAAATAACTTGGTCTGAATGTTTGCGATTTGCATATACCAATCAATTTGTGAGGACCAAGGTATATACTGTCCTTGCATGGTCTGTAAACTGTCAACTGCCTGATTTGGTTTTCTGTGAAAAACCTTGCTCGAAATTATTCGACAAGAAACTCTAGACCTACGTTTCGTGCTACTCGGTGCTCGTCAGCCGAGTGTGCCCGTAATCTAAGCGGAACTGAAGCTGGCTGTCGGATACGACCCTTTATCAATGTCAGAATTTACCATTGAGCTATCCTGTCGAATATATATACCTACAATTGAATAGTGGATAATGTTATCTATATTAGGTTCTCAATGCTAATCGATTTCCATTGAGGTTGCGAATCTGCCAGGAATATTCATTCCACCATATTGAAAGGTACATCCTTCTAATGAGTGCTGAACCTAGGTTCAAGACTACTTCAAACCACCACCTTACATCTTGACACTGTGCACGCGACGTCAAATCACCTAAATTAGTGACCTCATTGTAGCCTAATCGTCAGAACCTTGCCAAGGCTAAGGAGGACCTGACACTGAGCACTAATTATTGATAAATCAGTATGAAGTATCTTTACAATTTTGAATAACGAAAATGATTACCTTCAACTAATAATTGATCTAAGAGCTCAGAAGGTGTATATTTGTAATTACACACTTTCTGAAGACTGTGACATTCATTGGATCAAACAGTGAAGGAGTAAAAGCTCTCCAGGACAATACATTGATGATAATGCTAACTGTTTATGCTGGCATACACTCTTCAAGTAAATATCAATAATTACCACCGTAGTGTTAAAACATCACATGAAGAAAACTTGCCAATGATTTTTGTTGTATTGTTCGATTCTCAATGATGCTTGTTTTAATATTCAAAGTCTTGTTTGTATAATGTAATGTACGTCTACAGGGTGGAGGAATATTGCGTACTTTCAAACACATACTTAACGTGTGTACAAGGAAAAAATCTAGTGGTCTCTTACGAGTTATCAAATGTAAATCAGTACTGAGAAATAATGAACTATAACCCTCTCTCGTTGCTATTTCTGGCAAGTTGATATTTATTACATATGTCTCATCCGGCCCTTAGTTTGTTTATATCTATAACTTTGTTGAATGGAGGATTACTTTAATTTGTACACATTGTCATCAACTTTAATTGTTCTACTGTAGCATCTACTCTGTACCGTTCACTTTCCATTCTCATTCGTTTAGCTTTTGGATATGTGATTCTTCTGTATGGTTCTTCAGTTGTTGAGTCAGCATAGATTTAGCATTTTTTTTCAACTATCTGAAAAATGGTATTAAGTAAGGATGACAAATCCATGGATGAATTATTGCATCCACATTCTCAAGTCTCCTCTTACTTTTACTCAATATTGGGGGGTTGGGATAATCGAATTAGAGTAGTAGAGAGTTGTGTCGCCGGATCCTCGCTCTCGTTTTCTGACTTAGGTAAACTTGTAATAGTTCAAGTATATCAAAATGACATTGTTTATGTGCAGGCATAACAGATCATTACTGAGTAGTCTAGCATATTGTTATTGATTACACTGTTGCTTTTTTCAAAACTCTGATCAATAAGTTTATCATTGTATTGATTCAGTGATTTGAAAGTAAAAATTAAACGATCCATAGTACAACAACAACAGCATAAGCAAACGATTAGAATAGACAGACAGATACAACGCAGAACTTCGTACGTAAGTACATCAGTTCAGGTTGCCATACCACATCAACACAAAGATGCAACTGTCAGTTCTAATCGAAGAGTGATAGCGATAGTAGAAGTATTAGCAGTAATGCAAAAGATTAGGGAGAAGTAGTATTCAGTGAGATAAATTTAGGAAGAGAAAGATAGGAATGATTAGCAATTCAGAAGGTTAGAATTAGAGAGAAGACAAAGAGTGGATGCACTTGCGCCATTGCAAACGATTTTGAACCATGTCGCTCAAGGTCTCTAACCAATGGTTATTTTCGTCTCGCGGACCCAAACCAACTAGTCTATATCTACCAACATGACTCAGTCCACTAGTCAGTGACTTCATGGATTTGTGCCATGTATTTATCTGACCGCCTCTAGCTTTCTTCCAACCTACTCCTACACCATAAAACAGAGCTCGTGGAGGCAGTCGGTGGTTAGCCATACGTAACACATATCTCAATCACCTCAACTGATTCAGTTTCACTACCTCATCTATTGATTTGCCATCCCTAACTAGAACTCGTTTCCTAACGACAGTATTGCTTACACGGTTGTCCCATGATACACGAGCAGTGATTCGGAGACACCAGTGATCGAAGACTAGTAACTTACGAAAATCATCTACTCTTAACGACCAAGTCTCGCATTTGTACAGTAGGACAGAGCGAACTACTGCACAGTACACTCGTCCATTGGTTATCAAACGGATATCAAGCCTGCGCCATAAGTGACGCAGGTTGGCAAAAGCCAATCAAGCCTTCTGTATCCGAGCTGAGATTTCGTCAGTCACCAGGCCATCGGCACTGATGAGACTCCTAAGATAAGTGAAGCGGTCTACACGTTCGACTAATTCACTCCCTATCACTAGTTCAGGTGCCGATGCAACCCAATCTCGAAGCAACATTTTGTATTTCGGGGGGGGGGGGATCGCATCCCAAACATGCTTGCATTGTTGGAGTTGCATTTGTCAGCGTCTTCACCACGTAGGACTATGTCATCGGCATTTTCTATGTCAACTGGCGAGCCTCCTGGTAGAAGGTCCACTCCTGAAAATTCAGACGAGCATAATGTCATATCCAGCAACTTGTCTATGATAAAATTAAACGAGAATGGAGAGTGGACATCCCTGACGGACACCACTTGAAGTAAAGAATTCCATTGATAGTTTGCCATAAGCTCTCATCCGACCAGTGGTGTTCGAGTAGAGAGATTGTACAAGGTTGATGTACTTCTTTGGTACGCCTTTCAATGACAGACACTGCCACAGAACCTCCCGACCCACAGAGTCGAATGCCGCTTTTAGGTCCAGGAAAACAACTATTGTAGGACGCCTAAACGTGTGTCTGTGTTCCAGGACCTGTCGTAGTGTGAAAATGTGGTCTATACAGCCACGTCCAGGTCGAAAACCAGATTGGTTTTCTCGAGTTTGCTCTTCACGAGCTTTCGTTACGCGTCGAAGTATTATTGAGGCCAATATTTTAGATACTTTATTAGTTAGACTTATTCCCCTGTGATTGTCACAAGAGGACTTTTGTCCTTTCTTGTAGATTGGGACAATCAGTGATTGAGACCAGTCGGATGGGATTACGTCCAGTTCTCAGATTCTACCTAAGATCTCAGTCAATCTAGCTGCATAAACTGGACCAACATCCTTAAA